GAAATTTAAAATGGGAATCATTAGTTCACATGTTATTGTGCTCTTATAAATCCATGTGTTTATTGTCAAATTTGACTTCTTTATAAAAATATTTTACTTTTTATTTTCAGTATGCAGCTCTGCATCTTGCTGACAAAAGATTTTGGTTTCCAACTTCACTTTCTGCTTGGTTACAAATAGATGCATCTTGAACAGCAACATTTTCTGAATTACTAGTTGATCAACATGTGCACTATATGCAGATAAGTCTTGATATCCAGTGTTGTTTAATTTTCAGCTGCTGTCTTCCCTCCCACACTGACCACAGTTTGCACCCTTGACCTCCTCAGCCCTGCGAAGTGTAAGTCCACTGCCCTTGGTCCCAAGAACTCCATTCCCTGAGGTGGGTGATTTTTACCCAATCATCCTCAATCTAAGAATCTCTATCATGCCAGTCCTTTCACCACAGAATCTCTGAGAGCTTTGTTACTCGTTCCATCTCAGCCCCCATTTCTTTGAGACTTTTGATCTGCCTCTAATCCCAAGGATCCTCCACAACTCCATCATCAGGATCATCCATCCTGTCTTCCTGACCCCAAGACCCTCAATCCCTAGGACCATTCATCCTTGCTAGCATTGCCAAGACTCTCCATCTCATCTATTGCCAAAACCCCATACCCCACACCCCACACCCCACATATGTCCCTGATGTTCGACACCCACATGAGTCACCAAGACCCCCTGCCCTCAATCCCAGAGACCATTTATTTAACTCCCACCATTGCCAAGAGCCATCATCCCTGTATCCGAAACAGGCCTCCCATTCCTCTCCTCCCGTCCGCCCACCCCACTTCTGTTACCAAATCCTTCCATTCAGTTCTTGTCCCAAAGACCCTCTGTCACTCCAATCAAGAACATCCTATACTCAAATATTCCAGTAGCTAATACTCTCCATTCCTACATGTTCCAGACTCTGTTCAACTCTTCCTTCCATCCTTGAGAAACTGCAAATCCATCATCTCCAAGACCCACACTTGCTTAGTCCTGAAGACCTTCCAACCTCCCTCCTGTCTATATGACCCACCAAATCTGAAGTTCCCAAGATTCTCCATCTTCCCTCCTATCACCGAGAACTCCCACCCTCCCCTTCTGTACTTGAGAACCTCTGTCTCTACAACACCCTATGACCCTGAGACACTACTTTCCCTATCCTGGAGATTTCCATGCCCCTGTCTGTGAGATCCTCCACTCTCTGTCCACAAGACTCTCCACTTCCCTGGCCTTGAGAGCCTCCACTCCCCCCTCCCCATGACCGTCTACTGCCCTGTCTCTGAGACCCTTACTGCAGTCCAAGAGACCTTCCTTTCCCCTGTCCCTGATCTCCTGAGAGCATTTGATTTTCCTGCTCTGTAAGTCCTTCCTTTATCCTGTCCCTAAGACCCTCCTTGATCCCCTCCATTCACCTGTCCCAGAGACCATATGATTTTCCCTGTTCCTGACACCTTCTTTCTCTTATCCCTAACTCTTTCCTTTCCCTGTACCTGGGACCCTCAGTACTCTGTCCTGAGACTCTCCACTCCCCTGTTCATGAAGCCCTTCTTTCCCCTCTTCATGAGATCCTCCTTTCTCCTGTCCCTGATACGATCGGATTTTTCTCTGTCACTAAGACTCTCAAATCTTCTGTCTCTAAGACCCTCCCTTATTCCCAGCCTGTGAGACTCTCATATTTTTCTTGTCCCTGACACCTTCTATTTCCCTTTTCCTGATGCCATCCTGTCCCCTGTCCCT